CCAAAATCTCTGTAGATGTTCATTGAAATGAAAAATAAACAAACTAAATTAAATTTAAAAAAAAACATCATCATCCTATAAAAATAGAGTTCTTCCATGGCCATGGTTTAGAAAACTCAGAAGTAAGATGCACCAGATCCACAGACTCAAGGCAATTCCAATAAAAATCTACCATAATTTAAAAAAATAAAAAGTTTGTAATTTCTTTTTTATATAAACAATTGTCACTATTATGCTACTGGTTGGGCACAGGACTAAAAAGGAGAAAAGTGGCTGACCTGGGATCTCTTCTGGCTCTCTCTAGCCTCTCAGAGTTTCTCAAATTAAGCACAAAAAAAATTTAATTCGGTTATTTCTAATAAGAATTATGAAGGCAAATATGGCTTATTTCTTACAGTAGTTTTGCAAATGTTCCATCTCTCTTCATTTATTCAGGAGGATATTTTGAAACAAATAGAAGTATTGGTAATTTTTTAAGTAGGGAGGAGGAGTTATTTTACATAAGCCCTTGCCTAAATTAAACTGTCACTATCTTTTGTTAGTAAGTGAAGATTCTCACAGTTGAGAAAGTTAAAAGAAATATTAGTTGTTTCAAAACGATTCAGAATTGTTCCTCAATTTTATTTTTGTACTAAGCCATTTACACTGTAAAAAATTACAGTTCAAATCCACCAGATGCTCCGCAGGAGATGGAGGGGCAATGTCCTCTTGCGCTAGTCAGATCTGAGTCGAAAGTGCAAAACAAACAAAAAAACAAAACATGGACTGCCAAGAAAACAAACAGGTTCATCCTGGAGAGGGTTAAACTGGGCTGCTCTTGGAGGCAAGGATTCTGAGGCTTCGTCTGACATACTATGGACATGTTGTAAGGAGGGACTGGTCTTTGGAGAAGGACATCATGCTTGGGAGGGTGGAGGGACAGCACAGGAGAGGAACGCCCTCTATGAGGTGGATTGATTCAGTGACTGGGTTAATCGGGATAGGAGTGTCAGAGACAGTGCGATTGGCACAGGACAGAGCAGAGTTTAGGGCTGTTGTACATAGGGTCGCTATGAGTCGCAAGCGACTCGACGGCACAT